GTATTTTATTTGCGCAAAGTACGCAAATATTGGGCGTATGTATTAAAATGAGATTCACAATTCTTTTGAGTTTACTTTTTTTTTGGTTGCTACCCGACAAGAAAGGTATATGTGGCCCACATGTGGTCATGGTTCTTTCGTGTGGATTAAAAGTGCAAAAATATATTACAGTTGATGAATGACGTATTTGATGAAGATAAGTGTGGCCCACTTGTGGAACACATAATGCGGTTCACATAACTATTCTACTTAATGAGGCATAATCCTTAAATAAATACGTGCTAAATTTGATGTGGCTATTATATGGGCCATACATATAAAACTCACGATCTTGCCTTATTTTGAATTTTAAATTTTAACCAATTGTAATAATTCTATCGCAATGCATTGTAAACTCTAGAATATTCCATGATATCATGTGGCTTACCGTTTTGATAATTTTCAATTCATAACTGTTGTAAGTATGTTTGAGCGATAAAAATAAATATATATAAAAGAAAAAGTGTAAATATATAAAATAAAAAAAAACCTAGGTGACTACTACTTATTGTAATATACAATTATGTTTTTTTTTGTAATACTAAACTATGTTTTTTTTTAATGTGATTTTATGCGTGATTAGATTATATAACGGCCTATTGTTAAAAGAATATTATTTAAAACTATATTACTTATATACAGGGCCGTACCGATGGGGGTGTGTATGGGGTGGACCCCCCCTCCCCAGATTTACAAAACTCTGTCGGTTTTTGTCGGAAAATTGGAAGATTTGGGACACTGCCGGTTAGAACTGAAATTTGCCTTCTAAAAAAAAAAAAAAAACCTTGACTGTAAAGTTAGCTTTTTTCTCTCAACTCTATAACTCCGAAACACGAACCTTGACAAACAAGGCCGCTGCGCGGAGAAACGAGTTGAGCGCGGTACTACCAGGAACGTGGTGGGGATCGAACTCGGAACCACTCGTTTATGAAGCGAGCGCTCTACCGCTACACCACTACCGCATAAATTTTAGTTGGATAAACATTAAAGCCACGTATGAAACGCACCAACGCAATCCCATAAAGGAGAGTGGTAAATATATGGCTAACATGTGCTTCCTGCACGTGGGCCACATAAAACTTTCACGCACAATTGAAGCGTGGCGTTCGTTCTTATTTAGTGTGGTTTTAGTGGGATAAACATTATAGCCATATATGAGACGCATCAACGCCATCCCTTAAAGGAGAGTGGTAAGCATATGGTTAGCATGCAAATGCCATATATGGCCCACATTAAAATTTTTTGTCGGGTATGGATACCTTACTTTGTATAGCATATCAACAACATTTTTTTGATTATTGTTAGTAACTAAATTACTAGCACTAACAGCAATTTAATTACTTTTAATTTTAATTACTAACTCTTGTAGTAACTTAATTACTAACAAGAATTAGTAGTCTACGTGGCATATATATTACAACATTAAATTTTTAAATACAAAATACTTGTTATAAGAACTATTTAGATATGGTTTTATTAAACTTAGACTCATAATTTCTCCACATTAACAATCTTAGTATTTCAAAACAAAATATTACTATATCTTCAGTAATTGAAATTTTATTCAGCCAAAAATTGCTGAATTTAAAGGCGTTGATTTTAGGCATGCTGTTTATTAACTAGTGTAAAAAAAAAAGTGGAAATCTGCAAACTATACTGTCAAAAATTTTGAAAAGTCAATGAACAAACTGCAAGTAGACGTGGTCAAAAACCAGTAGCATTTGATGATAGTTCTAATAAAGCTAAAAAGCGGCGTGTATCTTACTTAATTGAATCTCATTTATCCAATGAATTACTTTTTGCTGCTAGTAAAAAATTGAATCTATGATGAATCTATTGTTATTGCTGCCGAGAACGTTTTAAATATTTCAAATACAGATAAAGCGACTAAATATAAGGAGACGAAGCACTGGCTTTAATAATTGATGTCAGTCTGAAAAAAGCTTCCAATCAATTGATTAGAAGCGGAGTCTTGGAGAAAGATTATAACATTTACCCAGCTAACAATAATGTCAGAGATGCAACATTGAAATGTTATGTTTTAAATATAACAGTGGAGGACTATTCAGCTTCAGTTCCTTAAAAAGATTTAATGATTCATACTTTGCAAAAAATCTGTGAAGTTCAGAAACCTGAACTGCACAGATTCTTTACAGTTTGTTGATCCGTTACAGATCGAGCCTATTGTAAACCCATAAGATTTGCATACAAAACGGAATGCAAGAATTGTCTTATTGAAAAAGATAAATTTAAAATGAGATAGAAAGGTTGAATATGATTATTTTAAAGATTTTCGGATTTTCTATTAAAGTGAATTGTATTATTGAATTTACAATGATTGATGGGAAGTTTTAAAGGATTATTTCTGAAAAAACTTACTCTTGCTATCTTGTTTTTCTTGTTATCCTTTATGTAGACTATACTAACAGAGAATTCAAGTATGTTCTTTTTAGTCCCTATGCATGGATTAGATTTTTTGAGATGATTTTGCACATTGCATATAAAAAAGGAAACAAGAAAATGGCAAGCAAGATCTAAATAACACACAAAAAAATAAATACTCAGACTGGTTTTATGAACAAAATGGGAGTTGTTTTTATTTTCCGTAGAAGTGATGGTTTTGGAACAACCAACGATGGTAATACCTCAAGGCGTACTTTTGCAGCATTTGAATAAACAGCTGGGTATTGATCAAAAACTAATATTCATGTTTTATATTATATTGGTAACACTCTTTTTAGGATATGATATAGACTGCTTAAAATTCAAGAATTATTGTTTTGACAATGTTAGATTATATGTGTCCATTTTCCCTGGTATTACATGCCTCATTCAGTTCACTAAATATTGATACATGGACATGACATAATTAAAAGCCTTACATTACCCATTGGACTTATTTCATAGGAAGCTCAAGAGCCTAGAAATGAAGACTTCAAATCTTGTTGCGAAAATTTTAGCCGGAAAACATCCACACGAGCAACATATACTGATCTAATCAATAGACTCCTAGATTTTAGTGATCCTGTTATTTTGTCTCTGCGTAAATCAACATCACACCGAACAAATCATAAAGCATTTCCTTCAGATGTTCTTCAATTACTTAAACAATCTTCTAAAGATATTATTATTATTTTATAATTTTTGGATGTAATTTAAAATTGACAATGTTCCTTGTATTATTTTTTGTTTTTATTATTCCTCAAACATTAGCTGATTACTCAATTGTTATTCAAAATAGGAGGGTCAAAAATCCAATAAAATTTATTCAAAAATCAATTTACCACTTTGTAACTAAAGAAAGTATTTATTAACTAAGCAATATAAGTATCCATTGCAACTAAATTTAAAAAAAGTATCACTTGTAGCTCATATTGATACTCACGCCAAATTTAGTGAATATAGCACTCATAAAACATTTGCAGATAACAAAGATAGGTTGTTGCTAAGCAAAATAAAGGTATCCATAGCAACGAAATAAAAAATATTACCTTCATAAAAGGGACAGACATCATATTAGTACTTATGCTAATTTTAGTGAATATAGCCCTAATATTAAGTTAGTTATGAATTTTGTCCAGTAAGAGTGAATTCTGGCTCACTGTGAGTCACCTTGCGCGGTATAGTTGAGAGACACAAACTTGTAGTTATAAGTCTTGCCTTTGTTTTCTTTTTTTAGGGTAGACGTGAAATTTACCTTGTGCTGAGACTTTGGCATCTCTTCGGGAGTTATTAAGCCTTAGCAAATAAAGTTAATTTAGTTTTTTTTTATTTTGCCATTTAAAACTGGGATTAAATTTAAATTCAGTATAATTATAAAAGTATTCATAAGATTTATTTATTATTTTCTGAAATAACCTAACAACGTTTATCTTCAAAAGAAAATGTTTTGTTTGGATAAGACGTAGTGTCTACTTCAATGTCGTCGATTTAAAAGCAACTAATTTTTATGTTTGATTACCACCAACCAAAAAAATAATAGTCTTAATCTTTGGTAATATAAATAAAGCTAAGTTAATTGTTATGAACATGACTATGAAATTTATTTTCTTCCTCATCAATAAAAATAACTTTTTTACTTTTTTGAAATTAAAATTTCATTATGATTTTTTTTTTCTTTCTTTTTCTGGAACCCCTATTCTCTTAGCGCCCGGGGCACATAGTCTTACCTATAGGCTAACAGCATCTATATCAAGCTGGCTGAAAATTCTTCATATGAACACAAGCTGTAAATCATCCCGGTTAGGACAAAACAGCGTTGTTACGAAATTTAATTACTGTTTGCTGCATTTTTAAGTTTAAGACATAACCATGTTTGTAAACAAAACTTTAACATTTTAAGTTTTTTGAAGCGAAATTTTTTTTTCCTTAGTTAATATTAAGTTGAATACGATTCTTTTTTTTTTAAACGCGTAATATTATCAAGCTTTTAATACACATCTAGTTAGAATGCAAAGTTGTTTAATTGTTTGTAGCAAACCGAACTTATTTCCCATTTTCAATTTTCATGTTAAAATCGGCGTAAATGAATAAATAAATGTCACGTGACTTTATAAACATCTTGTGCGAGACGGTTTTTTCCAAATGAAAACTGCAAGTACCTCGTTAGACGGGTTGTTTTTTATTCATATAACTAGCTCTTTAATTAGTGCGTCTTATTTAAAATCATGATTGTAAAAATTGCTTAACTCAATTATTTCTTGCCACAAGCAGTCTTGAAATTTTAAAAGCTGCAAATAGATAAGACTTTATAACATTAAAAAAATTCGGTTTTCATGCGTTTCGCACGTGTCCTTACAGATAGTTTTAGTGACAATTAACATTTATTTAAATTAACTCAATAATTTGCATTTTTTTGAATTCCATAGTGCTTTTGTATGACGCATTGATCTATAATCCAATAATAAATTTGATGTTGCAATAAAGGTAACAAATTTTAAACATAAATTATTTAGCAAATCCCAAAATGCACTTTGCCTTCAACTACAACTCTGGGCAATAAAATAGAGTCATTACCTAATTATACTTTGCTCGAGTACATTTAACATTTTCCCAACATCACAAAACGTGTTGGTGTTTTGTTGATAAGTTTTAAACATTGACAATAAAAAATTAAACACAAGTAAAAAAGTGGTGGCTGAAAATGGTAGAGAACTTTTTTTTTTTTAATATTTCATAAAAAATTCGTTTATTATTTTATCTATTAAGCATTTCTTACTTAGATAGATACATAAGATATATTTATATAACCATTTATATAGGTTTATAAGATATAGATATATAAACATTACAGTTTGATTTTTACTACTATTGTAGTAACAATATATTAGTATACTTATATATTATAATACTATATTATATTAAATAAAATATTAGTATACTAATATATTATTACATATTATTTACTATTACATATTAGTACAAAAATATTTTATAAAACCTAGTGTTTTTTTTTTATTATTGTTCTAAAACTTTGAGTAGTATGTTTGGTACATTTCAACTATAAATGTTTGATAAATGGCTTTCATGAGATATTAGTTCATTATTTTATCTAATAAATATTTCTTTATTATAAATAATTATACTTTGACAGTAACAGTTATTAATGTGGTATTACATACTATTACTATTACATACTATTTCATAAATTTTCTGAAAATTTTTTTTTCAAAGATTTTAAAACTCTAAAAAGTAAATTTATTGTGTTTCTTTATAATATGTTTGTCAGCGCTTTTCAAACTTTCTCGCTAACTGCGGCGCTACTAAACTTTCGCATCTTTCCCCTCCCTGTTTTTATGATTGGTCATCATATGATATATATGATATAATATATATAATAATGATTCAAAACCATATTAAAAAATAGGTCTAGAAATTTAAGGAAAAAACTCTAATTTGGTGTCAAGTTTTAAAAATTATATTTAAAATGTTATTCTTCTTTTTAAACGTTAAACGTTCTTTTTTAAAAACGCCATCTTTTTAATAGCGTTTCTTAACAATTTTTCTTATCATCAACACAAACCGGTTTTTTTTTGCCGTCAAAGTTAAAGTTTATTTAAATTCATTTGAATGTGTTTTTATGAATAAATATATATTTTTAATAAAATACTATTTAAGGTATTGCTTTTAGATACACAAACACCAGCTGACATATAGGGATTAACAAAAAGAAAGGTACATACATCGACTGACAAATAGGCATAGACGCAATTAAATTTACGTACATCGACTGACTTATAGAGATAGGCGTTATTAAATGTACATAGATTAACTGATACATAGGAATAGGTTTAAGCAAAAGCACATAGAGTCAGAGATCAATTGGTAAAAAAAATCGGTTTTGACATTTTTAATATCCCGGACATTATTAGGTTTAGCTAAAAAAACAAAAACTCGGCATTTTTAAACATGTAACAATTTGTATCTAAACTTAGCAAAAAAATTTAAACGATTTGTATTTAAAGACGTACTAAACGTTTTTATACTATGCGTAAATATTTAATTGTTTCTAACTCGAAACAATTATTCTTTTTATTGTATAATAGTTGTTTCTATGTTACATACAGTTTAAACTGTAAAATTTAGTATAAAAATTTTTTTCTTTTTTTTTGTTCCTTTTTTTTTATAAATTATTAAACTATAACTTTTGAATTGTTACTTTTTTTTTACAAAACTTAATACGAGTTAAATCTCAAAGATTTTTTTGTGCACATTTAATTAAATTGTTTAATAAAATATTCTTTACTAAATCAATTTAATTTCTATTCAAATGTTAACATTTTAGATAAAAAAAAAGAAGCAGCTGGTGTAACTGGTATAACTGGTTGAACCAATACTGTATTAAATATCATAATGAAGCATTCAATACTTAATAAGTTAGCAATACTATTAAGTATTGAATAACTTATTTGGCATTGAATTAAGTATTAAGAACGCTTTAATAGTAATTATTATTTTTTTTTACTTTTTCACAGATTTAAGAATTTATTTTTGTCATCAGCATTGTAACGTAATGTAAAACATATGCCTAAAATACCTATAGCTGTAATGCATCATTTTAAATGATTGTGAGTCATTATGCAGAATCAGGGTCATTATGCGAAGGGCTAGCTAAAAATAATAAAACGGTTAAGGAGCAATAATAAAATTTAGCTGAGTTTTTAAGTAACTAAATTTACTCAACTAATATACAAAGTAAAACAGATAATATATTATTTTAGATTTACTTGATTTTAAAACAATTACATAAAGCAGTCATTACTAGACAAACTTCAGTAAACCTTTAAGGCGTTATTTTAGACGAAAATTTATTGTGGAGGTTTCGTATAATCACTTTCGAAAGAAAGCCCTTAGAAAATTTTTACACAAAAGCTAAACAATTCTTAAAAAATAAGACTTTTTTCTTGATACACAAATTTTATACATTTATTTAACTTACGGTAATATTGTATGGGCAAGAACTAATTATACAAAGATAAAAAATATATACTCTTGACAGAATCTTGTTTGCACCGTATTTGGTACTTGTTTGTACCGTATTTGGAGCAACAAGAATTGTGCCTAGTAAGATGCTCCTTTATAAACTTAAAGCGTTAAATGCGTACAAATCCATACGCAAATAGCACATATTGATTGGCCCAATTTATGACAAATACTAGGAACTAACTTACTTAACGTTGATTCAACGTTGGCTAACTGATATTGATCACAATATTGGTGTGCTACAACGAAGAACATCAGTTTTAAAAGTGATGATTAAACGTTGGCTAACCTACATAGGCCCATGATAGTCTTCATGATAGTTTAAAATAAAAAAAAGACTGCTGCTGCTGCGTCAGCTGAGAATTAAGAGGCTGTATGTCCACATTTTATGTTTTTTCTGTTTATTATCAATAAATATTTATTGATAATAAACAAAAAAAAGTTAGGTAAAATATAAATATTCCGTAGAACTTTTTGGCACAAAGTCTTTGTATACTAAAATATAAAGCTTAATTTTCTCGGAAACATAAAAATGGACATACGGTCCCCTGGTTCTCTGCTGACAATTGGTCAATCTTTTTATGATAACTTAAAAAAACGGTACCGGTCAAACTTTCATAAGAGTTAATAAATTATGATGTAAAAATTATTATTGCAAACAATTTCTTATGTTTTTATAATGCATCAATTCATGTAAAGTTTACATAAACTTTAGGTTTCATGTGCATAATTAAAATAATACGGTTAGTTAGTTATTTACAAATCAATTTGATAAGTGGTTTTAAGAAAATTCGTAATCATTAAACATAAAGCGTTATAAGATTTTGGTTGGATTGGTACATGATATAAGTCTTTAAATAAATTAAGATTGCTTTGTACCCGATAGTACATGGTTATATAAAACAGATTATCCAAGGATAATAAGATTAAAAAATATCCTTTAGTGGCGAAAGAATCATCTAGATATGTATTGTTGTAAATCTTGCTCATATGTTAATTTAAAAAATGTTGAAATTATTCAATAAATAAGTTAAAAAAAACAAAACAATAATTGCATTCGAAATTACAATGCATAACTAATAAGAAAATGAAATGACAACAGGCTTGTACTTTTTTGTTTTTCATCACCCCACCCTCTTTGTGGTTTCATAATGGATTATTTTGAATTCCTTTCAAATATTTAAATCTATTTAACTTTTATGTTCAACTATGTACTAGTAAATTTACAACATTATCTTCAACTTTTGTTGAGGTCACGGGCATTTTTACTACAGAGGGGGTGATTTGCTTTCCCCCTCCTCCCCCTAAAGATGGCAATTTTCAAGTTATTGCTAGTTTTTTGAGGAATTTTGTTGGTTAGTCGGGCATTTGAAACATTTTAGTTAGGTAATTTTTAATTTTGAGAACCTTTTTTTGTTGTTGTTGCAAATTTCATTACTTTTTCATATGTATCTATTAAATCAACATTTTAAATTATTTCATAACTTAATACATAAAAAAATATAGTATAACTAAAATTACAAATATAAACTAACTATTATATTTTAGAAAATAAGGATAAGTTCTTATTTGAATTAACAAAGTATTTAAATGTTAAGAAAAGCAATATGTGCTGTTCCAAAATAAACGAATCACTTCATGCTTAGCCTGCTTATACTTGGTATTTAAGCCGTGAAAAAAATGTTTTTTTCATATTGAAGTGTTATGATATAGTAGCCAATAACTTTTTACTACCAGACAACCATGTTAATAGGACAGGTTCCACTTTTTTTTTTACAGCTCAATTTTAATAATTATTAATTTATTATTAGCCCTAACTTTTTTTAATAATTAAATTTTTTACTATATTACAAACAGTTGCGGGCTAGCAAACTTTTTCAGCCCGAAAAAAGTTAAAGCGGCCCTTACGATGCGACTTTTACTATATGAGGTATATTTTCAAACTATTTTCACTTTAATAAACAATATTATACTGCAATTGTACTCGCATATTCATAAAAAAATTTATTGAATTACAAAATTTATAAATATCATAAAATTCATAAACGTCATAAAAATCCATATATAGACAGCCCATATATAGATAAATCAAATAAAAAATATAGATAAATACATATATAGATAAATCAAATGAAAATTAACAGCAAAATTATGATGTATTTGATTCATTCATCATTTATTAATGTTATCGCATTGATTTTCATTTTTTGGAAACCTAACAGTTTATATTTTAATAGTTCATGTCCGCCATTTCCTGAGTTCGTTTAGATACAAACTGACTAATATAGGAACATGGCTTATCCAGATTTGTACAGACAATTTTAACTGATATAAAATTTATTTTAAATTATTTGAAAACTAGACAACTTTTCCGAATTATTTTTTTTATCAAACGAGTGCGTTTTGGTGGTTTCAATCAAGATGTTTTCAAACTTAAGAAATAATTTGAAATCCAATTGCATATTTATTTCGTACGTTTTTACATGAAAAAATAGATATAAACAAAATATTTAGGATAACGCCAAACCCAATCCGTCTAAGTGCTGTTTGAGTAGTTTTTTAAAATTTTAAACCCAATTACGGCATGTACAATGTGATGTAATAAAGAAAAATGTTAGCATTAAAAAAGTTGGTTTTGTTTTTATTTAAAAATGTATTTGATAA